TATATTATATGATATTATACTATATTCTCATGATCTCCGCTGCAAAAGCTTTGTCAGATGGGAGCTTCCAGGAGCTGCGGCCCCGGAGTGCGACGGCGAATCCTGCACCATGTTCTCCACGGTGTGGGCGTTTCAATGCGCAGCAGTGGCTTCAGCTTCCCGGTGCGCCCTGGACCGGCGCATGGCTGACTACTTTTGTTGTGAGATGTTGTGAGCCTTCAAGATGATGATGTAACCGCTAGCGCGAGAGCTGCCTTGGGTGGGGCAGAGCTTTCCAGAAACGGGGGGAGGAAGTGGGCAGGAGGGGGAACAAGGCTGCAGCTCCCAAACTCCAGGGCGAACCGCCGCTCAGTCCGAGAAAATGAAGAGACCCTCTCCCGGACCCCGAAAACATTTAACCCATCGGGTGGTCGTTGTAAGACCATTACATGGTCCCATGGCCATGGAACCAGATCGAGACCCCCCGGCTGACGGTCTCGGCGCATTTCCTGACATTTGCACAGTTTGTGACAGATCTCGTGGCGCACAATACCATGCAATACCCGTGCAGTCCGCACGCTGACTACTTCTTTGTGGGGCTTAAAGAACGGAGATGCGAGAAATCGCCCTCACAACCAGGGAGGTTGGAAGGTTTACGCACAGCCGAAGACTAAGAGAGCTGATGGCCTAAGCCTCGGAGAGCAGATGATGTGCGATTTTCACCTGGGGAGGATTCCTCCTGGCATCCTTGGCCTGGATGAGTTGAACCGTCGCGAGTGAGGCCGGCGTCCGCGGAGCGCGTCCCGGACGCGGCCAAACGGATCTATATTCCTCGATTGCTTTAGAAAGCATAGCCCTCCGTTGACCAGAGGGGTGGCCAGAGTAGCTCGCGCCCCAAGGGCTCCTGAGACGTGGCTCTGTTCAGTGACGTGAATTTTCAGACTTTAGATGCTCGGGCAATGACTTCGAAATTTCAACCTCTCAACCTGCAAGACATGTCAGTGATGTGTATCGAGTCCTGCCCAGCAGACTCGAAGCTCTGCCGTCCTGCCAAAGGCAGATGAGCAGACAAACGTGACGTTTCCAAGACATTGGATATGGTGACCGGCCTGCCTTCTTGGGAACGATCTTTGCCACAAACCCGGTGGGCAGTCCAAGATGGAGTTGGCCTTTCCGGGCCGTACCATACGCTCTGGGGGATGCCTGAGTTGTGGAGCTGCTTCGCAAACTGGACATACACCGAACGGCAGTGCCAGCAGCTTCTCAAAGAGATCCTCAGATGGAAGTCTAGCGCTGCTGAAACTCGTGATCAGCAGGAGTGAATGGCGTTCGGAAAGCATGGCTTGTCTTCGCTGGCATTGGACATGGAGGAAACTAGAGGGCTCTCTCTTATGGATGAAGTATGACAGCTCCAGGTGTGGAGACGGCGCTCCCAGCAGTGCTTGGTGTCTGCGGCTTACACGAACCAGGAAGCTTCAAGGCTCGAGCCAGAAGTAACCTGAAAACCACCCAAGGGCCTGAAGCAGAAAGAGAAGACTGAAGTCAAGGCATGGCCCTTGATTCTTCTTGTGCCCCGAAATTCTTGTCCGGTAGACTACGTTCTGGAGGTTGGTGCACTTCGCCTCCTGGCATTGATGCGGGACGAGGTGTGCCTGTGATGGTAGGAAGTGGAAGGCCATGACTCTGAACAGAATCATGGAGTTGCTTCTGAGGACACGATCAAGCCTCTCGCGTGCCAGCTCGCGGCAAGCTCACGGGCTGAGTGGCAGTGGCTTTGGTTTCTTGCGAGACCACGAAGCTTGCACATGGCAATGGCTCTCTTAGGATCGAGTGATGCCGCACATTGCCGAGATGCTGAACGATGCCGGCGGCTGATTTCAACCTCGCCAGTGAAAAGTAGCTAGAGATCAGCCGGCCGCTGCTGCGTTCAGGTGAAGCGCGAGGTGCGCCAAACGGTTCTGTGCTTAGCCTGTAATTTTCCGAGACCGCGAACGTGCAAGAACACGACGGGTCTCATGAGTCTCATGCTGGGGTTGTTACATCAGACCGTTCCTGCCTGCCGCGATGTCTTGAGGCTGCAGATGCCGCAAAGGTTCTCTTTGAATGTGCGCAGAACAAGGCGGGACACAAGATCAGGGTCGCGTGCTGCCTTCGAATGTCTTCGAGCTTGCTTCAACCGGTGCATGTAATGCCTCATGCTCTCCGATCCAAGCGACCATGCGCTCTCTACTCGCCTTCCGTGTCAGAGGTGCTTGAGCTTCAAAGTTTCAGACTTCGATGACGAATGAAACGAGGCTCCATGGAACGAACAACGGAGCAAGAGAGTCGAGAATGTCGTTCCGGGAACGAAGCCCACAGATGCGAACAAAGCCCCTGTTTATCTGTCGGACCCACCGGCCTTGAGAATCCCGCCTGACGCCGGCACCCACCCAGCTGGGGTGCAGAAGCTGGCTGTCGAGATGAGATGAGACAGGCTTTACGAAGTTGCGAGGTTCACAGCGGGCCAGGATCTTGTGACAGGTGACCTTCCAGTGGGTCAGGGTAGCTTTAGGTTTAGGGCCTGTTCGAGTTCTTCGGCAAGGCGCCTTCCTTGGACTTACCTCCTGACAGGATCTGGACCCGTACCTGGACGAGATCATCAAGGCAAGAGCCGCCCGAGCAATCTCTAGCTGCTCCGGCCGTTCATGCACACGGGTCGGGTCTGGAAGGCAATGATGGACCAGGAGTTCATTCCTCGTGTAGCAGGAGCCTTGTACATTCCGTGAGAGATGTTGGCAAGTGGTCGAGTCATCACACGGCGCATCTGCCTCTATTTTATTTGCATATTGCAAACGTCATGTTTGCAAACCTGCCTAGGTCAGCCAGCTGTCCGAGATCGTTTTCGTTCAGTCCGCCTCGCCCTCGGGAGCCACGGAATTTGTCTAAGTCTAGGCAGTAGCTGCAAGACTGTCATTGCAATCACGCTGTGATCGCTTCGGCTCGAGGTTGAGACTCCCGCGCTGGCGATCGTCATGCCGCTGATCGTACGCGGCCTCAAAGACAGGGATGAGAGGCCGGTGAGAGCGGACAAGCACACCATGCATTGAATCAAGCGTGACGAACACGAGTCTGACAGAACGCACATGCCCCAGTGGGTCATTGTCTTTGCTCATCCACATAGAACCAGCTAAGAGGACAAAGCGGCGTGCCCTGGTGATTGCGGACAACATGTGCAAGCTTGTGCCGGACGTGACCGAGATCCAACCATTCCTCCCAACGCCCCAGTCCTGGCTGTGTCTTTGACATTCCTCCCACTGCCACACCTCCAGACCAGTCTCTCGCCCTTTTTGTAAGGCTCATCCCGCTGGTGGAGAAATCAACGCACAACATCTCCGACCCGGAGGCCGGCCGGCCCTGCATGGGCGTCGCTTGCGTTGCACGCTGCAAATCCTCGCGTTCATGTGGCTTAAGCCTAAGCCGGATTGGGCGGAGAGAGTGGAGCAGAGTGAACGGTCCACAGTGCTCAGGTGCGAAACGTTGCAACCCGCTGCTATCGAACACTCCAGACCGCAGACAAGGTGCCATTTCAGCTTCAAGCCATTGCGTTTCGATGCATCTCCGTGGAGGCAGACAGGCGCCGCTTCATCAGCAAGACCGCGGCACATGCCCAAGACAAGCTCTTTGCTAACCCCTCACAGTACGGATCTGATACTGTGGATGCACAGTGAAGTAGCCTCGCAGAGGTGCTGAACCTCCTGCAAGAGAAGATCCCGGACGAGAAGACGCAGCTGGCCCGGCGCATAGCGGGACAGAGTTGTCGATTGCATCAGTCTTGTGGTGTCGCCAAGAATGGGCCGACCGGAGGACGTGAAGCTTTCCGTATCATTACCACCTCAGAAATTTTCAGCGCGCGCGTGCGATGCCATGTCCTGGGGCCTCGGGGCAGCCGAGATCACAAGCTCACCATGCAGATCCGACAGCATGGTGGGCCGAATGCGACAGCAATTGAAACAGGTGTGGGAGAGGCAAACTGTGTGGTCAGGGTGCTCTGATGCCAGGGAGGCGGGGGAGGCAGGGGCAGGTCGCAGATGCGTGCTACGCCGGACAAGGTCAGACAGTCGACTGTTCTCGTAGAGATTGCACGAAGATCCATGCAGAACAGCTTACACCGGAGTATGTGCGACGTCCTACTGAGATGAGGTGAGCGAGCTGGTCGCTGATTACGTGGCCTCGCTTTGCACATGCATCAGTGCTGCGGGCCTGAGGCAGTTGATGACGGTCAAGACAAGGTTTCGAATCAAGACCTGTGCCGAGGCATGTCGAAGCTTTGAGTACGCAGAGTGGTGGCAATGCATCGCGCGCTGTGCTTATGCAGCGAAAAACGTCACTGCGCGGTCATGTACTGGATCGGACAAAGCGTCCAACTCGATCTGCCTCATCTGGTCAGATTGAGATGTATTCAGGCCGTACCTCTCTCCGTCGATTCTTTCAGTGGAAGATTGCGAAGACCTGGTGTCGCAGTCTTACTGACGGGTTGCGGTCATGCTCGAGCCAAGACAGTACTTGTCCTCTGAGAGACATCTCGATGGTGTTGGGAGAGTGTTACGCCGCGACGTCACTTTACACGGAAGCCGGGCTTGTCGTTAGTGTCTTCGAATGCATTTGGACTGTCTGCCCCGTCCAAGAAAGCCATCTAGAGACTCCAGCCTTGTTGGGATCTGACCTTGAGATGCGCGCACAAAGAGTTCACGGCATCAGATCAAGATGCAGCAGGGAACCCTCGTAGACGGGGCTACATGTATGGGCTCGTGAGGAACCATTCTTGGCCCTACCCGACTGTTCTCTCCGCAAAGCTTGACCTATAACTTAGTGCAAATCGCCACGCTGCAACAACTTGCTCAGTCCGAAAGGCATTGAAACACAAACAAGGCCATCGATCCCGAAGAATCGACGATTCCTCAAGACATAGAGTGGTGGCATTATAGCACTGTTCTTGGCCGCTCCATGCGCGAAAGCCTGACAAGTGTGTCGCTGGTTTTTCGTGTTGGAGACCTGAACTATCTTTGTGCATCTCTGTGCGTCAAGGATCATCGTGCAAGTAAGGCTTAAACGGCCTAGCATCCCTCAGGCCGGACCTTTTGGAGAGTTGCTACGATGCGGCCGAAGGTGATGATGCCTTGGCCTCAAAAGCAGAGCCATGTCCAGATGGTGAAGCATGTGTGTGGACAAACCCAGGTTGAAGATCTTGACGAAGAAGGCAACTTGACAAAACCCCTCGGAGTTGTTAGACTGCAATGCGATACGAAGTTGCCTATGAAGACGTCCATGGGCCGCCGAGGCGAAGACTTGTGCAACTGCGTATTCACTCTCGGCTACGGTGTGCGTTCCTCACACGGGAGAAGCCGTCCCGTGCTTTTGGCTCTTTGCACTTTGTAAGGCCTTGACACTTCTCAACAACACCAGGCCTTGGGCCTTGATAAGTTGACACGGACATTCGTGCATGGCGACGGCCCGGCACAGAGGAGAAGAGTCGTGGCCCGTGGCTCACGACAGCTGTGCCAGGCTGCACCTGAAGCGTGGGAAGTGTTACGGGCTCTGCGGTCAGTGGCTCAGCTCCCTCCCTCCCAAAACGCTGCGCTATGATGCGCTGCAAAGCGATCCCGAGGTCCCAACGACTGTGGAAAGAGCACTCTTCTGAGAGCCATCAACAACGAGCAGGCCTGCACAGACAGGTGCAACTACAGTGCACACATGCGCACATTCTCGATGCCACAGGTGGACGGCTTTCCTCCAAAGAGTGAGCTGGTGACAGCTTTTGTGGAGCATGGCATTGGTGAGAAAGAGCCGGAGTGTGAGCTCACGTCTCAGTCGAAAGAGATGCACGAGTCCGAAGATCAATACTGTTCAATACTGGCAAGTCCACCGAACAGGTGGACGCCCCTGGAGTACATCTTCGCCGACGAAACCATCCAAGCAATGGGAGTGACGAGCCTTGGCACATGCATGCTCAGAGTTTGCCAACGTCTTCACGCTCGTCTTCACGCTGATGCTTGCGAATCCATGAGCCAAGGAAAAAGAAGGCTATGCACTCAGCACATGGGTGTTGGCATTGTGACGCTCGCCTGTGTAAAGCTGTGCAGAGGGCATGCGTGAAACACTTCAGAAGCAGATGCCGCAGCATCGATGTTTACTTGCGTGCAAAAGCAGGAGCGCCGACTCCTTTCCTGTAGTGCGCTTGCTGTGCTTTGCTGGTTGTTTGGTTTCCTTAGTGTTGCCAAGGCGGTTTATATTGGTAGCGGAGCTTAGTGGGGGTTTAGGATAGGCTGCTGCTTTGCTTCTTAGACCTCGCTGATGGAGGCGTCTGCTGCGCCGGATGCTTCAGATGTCCCTGTGCCAGGGGAGAACGATCCGTGGGATGAAGCGGACCCGTGGGGAGGAGCAGCTCCCATTGAGCCTGAGGACCCGGAGGCAGATGATGATGATGATCATGTGTCTGGGCCGGCTACGTCGGGACTTTCCCCTCAGGCAGCTTCGGGTGGGCAGTGGCGACCTACCTTGAGCCCACCTCCTGCAGAGCAAGATCAGGTGCATGTGCCTGGGAGCCAGGCTGGCTGGAACGCGGCTGCTACTCAGCCTCCTGGGCTTTTGGCTGGAAGCTTCATGCCAGGCGGTGCTCCTCAGGGGTGGCCTTCTGTACCAGCAGGACCTACCGGTGTGCTTCCTGGGTGGCCTGGTGCTTATCAAGGGTTTCCTGGAGTTTTCGGCCCTCACGGCGTGTCTCCAGGGTGGCCTGCTGGCGTACCAGTGCCCCATGCAGTTCTTGCCGGGCAGCCTCCAGGTGTTTATGCGGGGTGGCCTTCTGGACTGCCAGGACCTACTGGTGTTCATCCTGGGTGGCCTGTCGGACCAGGGCAAGCTTCAGGGGGAGTGCCTAGTGATGGTGGTGCAGGGCGAGGTGTGCCTTTGCAAGATTTTAGACCATGGGTTCCGCCGTCGTAGTCTGTGGTGCCGCCTTCGTCGACTGGTGTTGTGGCCGGCACCGAACCGCTGCCGACCACGGAGCCCTGTGCTACGCCTGGTGCCCTTGATGTGACTTCGCCCTCGCGGGCAGCTCCGGCTGGGAGGCTGCGGCTGAAGCCTAGGACCCCAGCTTTGTCACCTGAGGATGTGGCCGAGGACGTTGGCAGCAGCAGCGCCGGGACGTCAGAAATCAAAAGTTTGTTGCGGCGCCGTGCCCGTGGAGAAGAACGACCGAAATCATCGATCGGTTCTGTCAAGATAGAAGATTTTTACGGGGACCGCCGCAAGTTCAGGACGTGGAGGCGGGCCATTGAAGCACAAGAACATCTTTACCGTTTGGAACAGTCAGAATTGGCCATGCTCATCTACCTCTCCACTAAGGGGGAAGCTCGTGATATTCTTGATCAACGCCCCCTGTCGGATTTCACGACACAAGGAGGACTCACGATGATGTGGAAGCTCCCTGAAGAAACCTACGGCGAGAGCAGCGCCGAGAGTTTTGAAAGGGCTGAGAAAGAGTTGGCTGCTTATCGCCGCCTTCCGGGCCAGAGTGTGGCTTCCTATGTGGCTGGACTCAAGAGGCTGAAGATGAATTACACCGTCGAGGACCCGGACAGCACGTGGAGCAACAAGGCTTGGGCGCAACGACTGCTGAACAGAGCCGGCTTAAGCAAGCGAGACAGGCTGGATGTTTTCTATAGCGCCGGGGCTTGTTACGACACCGACTCCATCGAGAAGGCGTTGCGCCACAGGTGTGCCCATGTTCACGAAGAGGAGCGGAAGCTGCCGAGCTTGGTTCGTTCGGGGCGCTCTTCGGTGCGTTCGGCTCCTTCTTCGGCGGCTTCTACAATTTCGGCCTCGACCTCAGCCAGCTCTGCCCGCAAGCCGTTTCGGAGGCACTCGGCTCATGTGGCAGACCAGCCCATTGACGAGGAGGCCGACGGGAATGACGACGAGGACCTTGAACAGGAGGCCGTGGATGGCGCAGGCGAGATGGAAGGCGATGAGCCGGAGGAGGAACAAAGAGGCGAGGACGAGTTGCCGCCCGATGGTTCGGATGAGGAGCTCCCCGATGTCTATGAGGCCTTTCAGGCGGGATGGAAAGCCAAGGCAAAGGTCAATATCAAGAAGAAGGCTCGTGGTTTCAAGTCGCCCGGCTCCTCCCCGGGGTCCGGTGCTCCCTCGAAGAGTTTGGCTGCTCGGAAACGTTCCTCTACTTGTGCAAGCTGTGGGGCAGTGGGACACTGGAAGGGAGATCCCGAATGCCCCAATGTTCGAAGCGGCAAAGATACTTTGCATCGCGCCGGTGCTGCCCATGGTGCCAACGAGGTGAACTTCGTGAATTACACGTTCATGGTGGGCAACCTGGTGGAGTGCCCTGGCTGTGGCGAGTTTTGTGCCGAGGGCACGTCGTTCTGTTCTTCGTGCGGTGCCCGCCTTTGCAAGAGAGAGTGGACCGTGGTGGATGGTGCCAAGCCTGGCGGTTCCACAGATGCTGTGTCACTTGCCGCGGCACCTCCGCGGCCAATGAGAGTGGAGGTCCCGAAGACCACCGTGGGCAAGAGCAAGGATGACAAGAAGACGTTGAAGCTGAAGCCTCTTGAGCTCCTCGGTGCCGTGGACCAGCTGACCAAGGAAGAGAAGAAGCGTGGGCTGTGCTATATGGTTCACGCCCCTATGGTGAAGGCGACGCGGCTGTGAGGACGGGCCCTAGCTTTGAGCCACCGGCCCGGGGAAAGGAGGAGCCAGGACCACGACGTGACAACGATCAGCTCCCCCTTCGCCCTGGAAGCAGAGGAGGAGCACTTTACAACGAGCCGCTGCGCCCCCCGTCTGCGAAGGATGCCGATGGCCGGGACAAGGCCAAAGCTGTACGCCAGCGTGAGTTGGAGGATTTTCGCCGCGAGCTCTACGAGCGCCAGTTGGAGGGCTCCCGTTGTGTTCCCGGGGCCGCTGCTCCCCGACCTTCGGAGCAGCAGGCGCGCTGCCACCACCGTTTTGGTGACTTGTTGTGGACAGCCAACCAGCGCGGGCATTTTGCTAGGTGCTCTCGGTGTGACCTCAAACACGTCATCTACTACAGTATTCGCCACGGGGTGCTCATGGCCAGCCAAGTTCTTGAGAATGCGGACCCGGACGATGCCCCGGCTGTTCCTTGGGCTCCTGGCCTGGCCGTGGCTGACACAGGCTGTCGTACAGCAGTTGGTGGGACCAGGTGGCACGAGGCCCTTCAAGCTGAGTTGCGCCGCCGTGGCATTTCATGGGAGACTGTGGCGGAGCAGGAGACGTTTCAGTTTGGAAGCGGTGCCCCGGTTATCTCTTCTCGGGCTCACCTTTACCCTGTTGCTCTGGTCCCTGGGCAGAGAGATGTGCTGAGGATGTCTGAGGTGGCCGGCCCAGCGGTGATGTGTCCAGGGCTGGTGGGGCCGAGCGAGCTTGCGAGATGGGCTGTGCAGTTCGATTTCCGGACACGAGAAATTGAGGTGCTCGGGGTTCGCCGGGCTATGCGTTTGACTCCGACGAGGCATCCTGCACTTGACTTGTTGGGTCACGTTGGTGACCAGGACCCATGGGGCCAGCCAGGCATGAAGGAGAAGTGTGACCAGCTGAAGCGGGCTCCTCAATCCATGGCGTTTGTGACGGGTGGTGTTGCCGAGGAGGAATCGGACGAACCCTCCCCCGACGAGGCACTGATTTCGGATGGTGGTGGCGATGATCCTCGTTACCAGCAGGAGCGCTATACGAAGGCCCGGGCTTTGGAGGAGCAGAGGTGGCTTGCCTTTTTGAAGGAAGACCTCGGCGTGAAGGTCATTGAGGATTATCGTTTCATTCATGACCGCCCCGAGGATGCCAATGATGACGTCAGCTCGGCTTCTTCTCGGCAGCATGTGGGTGACGAGGCTGCTTCTATTACCTCACATGAGTTCGGGGTGCAGCTGACGGACTCCGAAGACGAGACCGAGTCCGATGATGACCCAGAGCTGCTGCCGGAGGAAGCCGTGGTCGAGAACAAGCCCGTTCTCTTTCTGCACAAGGACAAACGCCGGAAAGTTAACCAGGCTTCTCGGGCCGTCCGGGACATGGCTGTTTCTGCTCGCCGTTGTGCAGGGCTGCCTCGTGTGCCAGGGCCACCTAAAGGAGCACCGTCTTTGCCTCGCCGACCGGGCCCATGGCGAATCCTTGAGATCTTTGTGGCTACCATGGCCATTGGAATGGCGGCTGTGTCGGCCGGTTGGCAGTGTGGCCAGCCAGTGGACGTTCCGTACTTTGACCTCGCCTGCCCCGCTGTAAGAGCCGAGGCCAGAAAGTACTTTGCCAAGTGGCAGCCGGACTTGTTGGTGCTCGCCTTGCCGCCTACTTCTTCTACGGTGCCAACCATAGAGGCCCCTACTGCTGCCTCTTTGCGCCGGCACGGCATGGAGCAGACCAGGTTGGCAGCTAGGTGGCGTTTTGCCCATGACCTTATTGTGGCTCAGCGTGCTCGTGGTGGGCTAGTGTTGACTTATGGTGCTGACCGGCATGAGTTGTGGACACATCCTTTGTGGATTGGGGCTCTGGAAGGTCTGCCCAAAGCTCGCACGGATTTGTGCGCATGGCCGGCCGCGGGCTCGCCGCCCACGTTGCAACAGCCTACCCTTGTCGCTGCTGATGCCCCTCTTTTGCGGCGCCTTGTGCGGCACTGCCCTGGCCCGCCGATCCATCGACACTTCTTTGGTTCGGGGTCTGGACCTAGACGACACCAGTGCGGCCGATGGATCTGCAACGATGCTCGTCTACTACCGGGTGGTTGGTGCAAGGCTGTGGTGCAAGGGGCCCAGGCGATACTGGAGCAGAGGTCGCGGATGATGGTGGTGCCGACGTTCTTTGCTCCATCCCGGCATCTTCCTGAAGAAGCTTTCGTTGAGGATGACGCGGAGATGCTGGATGAGGCTCCTGGACCACCTGGGGAAGGCAGTGAAAGTGGGAGCTGGCGTGCTGAGCTCGATGGCTGGGACAGCCGGATCCAGCAAGAGATCGCTGACTTTGAGCTGGCGCGGGCCGAGGCTGCAAACGATATCCCCGACCAAGTTCCCAACGACAACTCCGAGCAAGAAGGGGCCACCAAGGTCGCTAGGACCAGCTTTAAGCAGGCT